GTCTGTATTTTCCATGAATTTGTCTATTTTTTCCTCATTTTTGTCTGCTTTTTGCTTCAACTCTTGGATAGCTCTGACTATTAGAGATTTGAATTCCCTATCAGGTGGCTCTAGTGCCTTTTATTCTACTGGGAAGACATCTGGTGTTTTATTTTGGACACCTACTGGAACCATCTCATCCTGTTTCTGTAAATGTTTTGATATTGTCTGCTGTCTTTGGGGCATTTGGTAGTTATTTTCTCATTTATAGATTGTAAATTTGTTTGTTTCATCCTTTTTTTTGTTTGTTTTACTTGTCTGAGCAGGCGGGCTGTGTGTTCTTTGTTGTCTGCTTGTCTGTGGGCACGATACTTTTCACTTCCTTCTCCAATTGACTGGGTCATTCCCTCAGATATGGTACAACAGTGCAGGTCTAGCTGAAAAAGAGTTGCTGGGATGGGTTGTTTGCGGCACTTACTACAGCCACCAGGGCAGGCAGGTAATCAATGCAGGGCAGGTTCCAGAAGGCCGTGCCTGGGCTGCTTGGTGGTGTGATGTTCAACACATGGTGCGGGTAGACAGGATGGCATGGAGAGATTGTGATGTGTGGAGCTAAGATGGGTATGAGAGAGAGGAGAGAGGAACAGGGGACAAAAACATACAAACAAAGAAGAGTCCTAGAGGTGCTTGCCATTGGAGTAGAGAGATGAGAGACTATGAAATGGAGAAAAACAAAAAGCAGAAGAAAAAAAAGCAAAGAAAAAAATGAACAAATAAAAATTAGAAAGAAAAAAGAAAAGCAAAGCTCCCAGGGATCCACCAGTGCAGCTATGAAGTCTGGGGAAGTTGCTCCCAGACAATGTAGTACAGCCTGGCTAGAAAGTGTAGAGGTGTCACTCAGCGCCAGGTATTCAGGGGACAGGAAGATAAGGAAAGTATACAGAGACAAAAAAACTGAGTCATGAAGAAAGAAAAAAGGGAAAAAGAGGGAAAAGAAAACAAAACAAACAAATTAAAAAAGAACAAGAAACCCTCCCCCCCCAAAAAAATAAGAAAAAATAAATGTCCTAAGGTATCCCTCTGTACATCTGCACAAACTGAAGTGGTAGGTCCCAAGCCATGCAGTACTGCCCGGCTAGAATGGGCTTCCAATTCAAGAAAAGAAAAAGAAAACAAACAAACAATTCAAAATAAACAAACAAAAGACCCGGGATCCCACTAGTGTGGCAGCATGGGCCGGGAAGCAGTTTCACATTTGAGCAGTGTTTCACAGCCTTTCAGGAAGAAGGAAAGATGGTGCACGGAGCCAGGTATTTGAGAGAAAGGAGGGGAGGTGGTGAGAGGTAAGGAAGAAGTCTAAAGAGCAGAAAAAAGCAACACCGGCAGCCAGCAAATGGCACTTAGGGGGCCAGCCGGTGTAGGCGGGTGGAATCTAAGTGACACCAGGGTGAAGCCAGTGTTTTCTGGCCAAAAGACTGTGGCTGCAGAAAGCAGAGGAGGCCTAGTAGGGGTAAAGAAGGGTGGAGCATGGGGAAGTGTATATCAGTGGTTACTGGTTGTTCTGTCTCCTGCTGGAAGGTCCGTGAAGCTGCTTTCTCATACTCCCTGTTTGCTGGTCTCTGATAGGAGTCCAAGATGGCGGATCCATGCTGCATTAGCTGATAGGGGACCTCTGCATGTATCTCTCCTCACTCTCTGTTCTCTGTCAGCTTCTTATTCCATTCAGTGCTTGGCTGAGTTCTTTATCTCTTCATTTGGTGCTGAGGGTTTCAGTATTGCTGTTTTCTATGTTTGGCTTAGTTTTTCGGATCTCCGCCGTGGAGGGACAGCGTGGTGCTTCTGCCTAGAGTGCCATGTTGCCTGGAAGTGCCAATGGTTTTTGAAATATGGGTAGCATCACCTATGGTGGACAAGTTTCAGTGGCGCTTCCAGATTAAGACAGAATAGGAACAAAGGCCTGAAAATATACTTCTAAAAATTAGCCAATGAAAACCTTATGCATCACATAAAATTATATGACTCACTTACTTAAGACACATCATCATGAGGGATCAATTGCTGGAGGAGGGCATCAGACACTTGGCGAGATGGATTGACACAGTAGCCACAATGATGGACGCGAACATGCCAGTAATCATGTGGATGACACAGGACTGGGCAATGTTCTGTTCTGTTGTACATAAGGTCACTGTTACTTGGAATTGACTTGATGGAATCTATCTATCTGTCTGTCTCTGTATCTGTCTATCTACCTATCTATCCAGTAGATACTGGAACTGTTGCTAAAACACATCAAAGGGTGTTCAAATAAAAAAAAAATCAAATATTCTATAGACTTTCTGCTATACCATAGATCACCTGGTCCCTAAGTTATTGCTTTACATGGACTTTTATGAGTGTGATAAAGTGTTATATGAGAAGTTAGTTTTAGGCACAGTGCTTGGGGAAATAGGCATGGGAAATAGAAACAGTAGAAATCGTTTGGTGTCTTCTCTTTAATTAGGTTTCAAAGACTTCTTAGGGCCCAACTGAGACAAAGACTGTGATTAGAAGCAAAAGAGAGACCCTTGTCATGAAGGACTTTCTGAAACTGTTGGGTAAGCAGTGGTGACTGACATCTAATGACCAAATATGACTCAGACCTGGGTAGAAAGGCCATATCT